TAAATGATTCGTGATTCATGAACTAGTTTCATGGTGATCAATGTTGCATTGTAATCAAAGTTGATCAGTTTAGTTGGTAGAATGAACATGAAACGAGTGCATAATGGATTTTGTTCGTTATKAAATATACGTATCATGAAACGGGTGCATAGTTAATGAAATAGATTCATGTAAAATAGTTAATAAAATAGATTCATGTAAAATAGGTAATAAAATAGATTCATATAAAATAGTTAATAAAATAGTTAATGAAATAATGCATAATGGATTTTGTTCGTTATAAAATTAATCTGCATGTAAAAATTTCAATGTGAAAAGGTTTCATTGCAAAATAGTTAATGAAATAGATTCATGATGGTGAAACATTTTCATTTTCTAAATAATTCGTGATCAATGAACTACTTTCATTGGGATCCATGTTGTATTGTATCTGAAGTTGATACGTTTAGTTGTTAGAATGATCATGAAACGGGTGCATAATGGATTTTGTTCTTTATGAAATATATGTATCATGAAATGGGTGCATAATGGATTTTGTTCTTTATGAAATATACGTATCATGAAATGGGTGCATAATGAATTTTGTTCTTTATGAAATATACGTATCATGAAACGGGTGCATAATGGATTTTGTTCTTCATGAAATATACGTATCATGAAACGGGTGCATAGTATATGTTATTGTACATGAAATTAATGTGCATGAAAATGTGTCAATGTGAAAATATTTCATTATAAAATGGGTAATAAACAAGGTTCATGTTGGTGAAACATTTTCATTTTCAATGTAAAAAAATTGCATAATGTATTTTGTTATTTATGAAGCTAAAAGTAGATGAGACGGATTCGTTATGATTATTTAAAAGATTGTGAGAAGATTGTAATCTGTCCATGAATCTTGGAAAGATTACGATTAGGATGTTACCAATTGTTAATGATTGTTTACCATTCTACCCTTATTGATGAAATAAACTGAATTTTTATTTTTTATTTTTTTTAATTTCCATAAATAAAGCATACAAATCTTGACCATTGATCAAGAAAATGGATGGTTGAGATTGGTTTACACGGTTTACACAAATGGAGAGGGTTTTCATTTGAACGCTCCTATATATATATATGTCCAATGTAAGCCAATATTTTAAATAATTAATGTTATATCCTAAAATAACATAAAAGATAAATTGGTAATATTTATAATTATAAAACCCTAGATGGTACTCTTCTCCTTCATCGACTTATTCTCCAGCCACCCTCCCCGTCATAGCCAACATCTTCTGATAAACCCTAAACCTCGAAAAAGGTTTATACTCTAATGGCGGTTCGTGTGACGATGAGCCGGTTTCCGGTGGACGCAGACCAGTTGGATACTTCGGGGGTGCTCTTGGGAGTGGCGGTAACTCCGTTTGCCACCAAGGACGAGAACGGAAGCTCGCCGATGTATGGATCGAACGTACACTTAATTCCTAGGTGCGAGAATTGCTGGGTGTGCTACAATACGTACTGCGATCAAGAGCATTGGACGTGGACTTGCTCCCTCTGTGGAACCCTAAATGGCTTATCTGCCAAGACCATTGCTCGTTACTCGCTTCCTCTTCCTTCTCACTGTCTTCCGATAAATTCATCGTCTCCGGTTGAATCGGTGGCGATATATGTGGTTTGCCGTTATCGCCGTTCATTTTCACCGGTGAGATGAAACCCTACTTCGGAGAAACAGTAACCCCACGGTG